GAACACTGACCACTTTAAAATGAAAACAAACTATTTTTTGCCAGACTATGTCTCCTAGTAAAGCATTTGATTTGAGATAACATTAGTCCTAATTTTTTTTTTTTTAAAGATTTTGAGAGAAAGAGACTGTGCAAACACGAGCAGGAGGATGGGCAGAGGGAGATGCAGGCCCCCACTGAGCAGGGAGCCCCACCTGGGGCTCAATCCCAGGACCCCAGGATCATGACCTGAGCTGAAGGCAGATGCTTAACCTGCTGAGCCACCCAGGTACCCCTTGTCCAAATTCTTGTTTTCAAAAAGACTGCCTCAGGGTGCCTGGGTGGCTCAGTGGGTTAAAGCCTCTGCCTTCAGCTCTGGTCATGATCTCAGGGTCCAGGGATCGAGTCCCTCGTCAGGCTCTCTGCTCATCAGGGAGCCTGCTTCCTCCTCTCTCTGCCTGCCTCTCTGCCTACTTGTGATCTTTCTCTGTGTGTCAAATAAATAAATAAAATCTTAAAAAAAAAAAAAAGACTGCCTCTATTTCTGGCAATATGGAGGATTAGAAACACTGATAGAGTTGCACGTGCTAGGTAATACATTACACACACACATATGCACATGTTGGTATTATATATTAAAATATATATAAACACATATAAATAAATCTTTGTAAATAAATAGCCAAGCCGATGAGAGAGTAAAGGACATGATGTTGGAATTCGTTAATGCTGTTGATCTGATGTGTACCTGAAAGTATGTGCCAATTCTTGGTAGCCTAGAGCCTCAGTTTTTGATGGGACTCTGAACATGAGGCTAGTGCAGGGTAGACAGAGGGGAGACTCAAGGATAATTTAAGGACTCCCAAAGGGCACATCTTCCTGGCAGGGGAGGAGGCTGCTGTCAGAAAGGGTTCTTAACTACAGGACCATAGTCAACATTGTTCTGGTGCCAGAATACATACTATATATGTGGGGCTTTAAAAAAAAAAAAAAAAAAAAAAAAAAAAAAAAAAAAATATATATATATATATATATATATATATATATATATATATATATGTATATATATTTTTTTAAGTGGATTGCTATTGAACCCAGCAGGAGAGAACACACATCTTTGCTGGAAGACCTCTTTTTATTTATTTATTTATTTATTTATTTATTTAAGATTTTATTTATTTATTTGGCAGACAGAGATCACAAGTAGGCAGAGAGGCAGGCAGAGAGAGAGGGGGAAGCAGGCTCCCTGCTGAGCAGAGAGCCTGATGCGGGGCTCGATCCCAGGACGCTGGAATCATGACCTGAGCCGAAGGCAGAGGCCCAACCCACTGAGCCACCCAGGCGCCCCTTTGCTGGACGAACTCTTTTTAAACCAAGGCCTCCAAGATTCCCCACAGATGGAGTGTCAAGGACATGAGTTCATATTGTCCTGTGAAGGAACATACATAGAAACAAGTTCCCCTAAGTGAGAGTCAGGAGATACAACAAACTACATAAGCTCTCAAAGGTTGCAGATAGTAGAATTACCATATAGAATATAAAATCAATATATCTACTGTGTAGAAATAAATCAGAGACTGAGAATATGATGAAGGATAAACAGGATCAAAATTGACCATAGATTGAAAAAAGGACCAAAGAGATCTTTTATAAATGATACATACGTATTTAAATTAAAAAGTAGACTGATAAAGTACTTTAGACACAGCAAACGTGAGAGCTGAAATGGAAGATAGGCAAAGATTTAAAGTACAAAAAAAAGTTTAAGAGATAGGAAGGGATAGGATGAAAATGTCAAACATGTTGAAGCAATCTCAGAAAAAGGATGGACGATACAAAACAAAGTTCAAAACAAAACAACAAAAAAACAAAGTTATGATGGCTGAGACCTGTTCAAAAGCGGTGAAGTATATAAATGGGAAGCCAATGAATACTAAATCAGATAAATAAAAAGACATTCCTACTGGATACATGATCATTGAGACGAGAATGTTGACCTTGATGGTGGAGGGGGAGGGTAAGTACACAAAAGGACAGGTAACCTAGAAAGGAATGGCAGACAACTAGATTCTATTTTAATAGCAAATGTAGAAGTCAAAAAAGTGATGAGAAAAAAATTTATCCTACAATTCTGTATTAAGGAAAACCATCATTCAAGAATGAATGCAAAGTAGGTCTTTCAAACTAAAAGAATAGCTAAAGGGATAACTGTTCTGTGCGTTTTAACTCTGGTGAGTTGGGAGGAAGAAAGAAAATCAGAGGGCAGGGCAAGAGCAGTGAGAATTTTAGGAGGTTGTGATTTAACCTCCCCATGAACTCCAAAATGCCATTTAAAAAATTAAACACTTTATGTGAGTTGCTTGCGTCTGATGACTGATAAGGGTTAGATTTGGCTGTCTTTGCAGTTTATAAGGCTGAATATTTATGAAGATATTGGAAAACAGAGATGGAAGAATGATGGGTTGAGTGGGAACTCCTGGGCCCTGTGGGGAGTGGATGGCTGTATACACTAGTGAAGGCTATGATATTAGGGTGCAGGCTAAGTAGCTCTCCCAGGAGAAAGGGCTGTCCTGGCTGACAAAAGAAAACAAAAATCTTAAATCTGCCATTTGGAAAAGAATGCTGTCCACAGTAAGTTACATTGTCCGATTTGCCTACTTGCTCAGTGTAATAGGCCATGCCTGCGTTAGTCAAATAGCTGTCTTTCTGAATATATTTTATCTCTGTAAATATTCTTTCTGGAGAGACTGCCTTAAACTTTGATGGAAAGCTAACTCAAATTGTTTACCTATCTATCTACATCTAAGAATGGGGTGACATTCCGAGGCCAGGGCCAAAATTGTAAATACTTCAGTGAGGTTACTGTGATGAAAACAGTCTGCATTTTGGCTACTTCTGGAATTATATTTTATTTTTATTACTATTTTTTAAGGATTTTAAGTAATCTCTACACCCAGGGTGGGGCTTGAATTTATAAGCCCTAGATCAAGTCACATGCTCCACTGACTGAGCCAGCCAGGCACCCCTACTTTGGGGATTTTTATTCAATTACTCATAAAATTATTTGTTCATTTGTGAGTTTAAGACATAATAAAGAGCTATATCTCCTAGAGATCCCAATAAAGAGATGTGTATGGAATATGAAAATAACCTGAATTTGTATTTTGGTGTCTTACTCTGTTTTAATAGTTGGTAAAAGTCCATACTACCATGATTGTTTGGTCACCTACAGTGAGTAAAGAGGTCAAATAGAGTTCTCCCCCCAACTTTTTTTTTTTTTTTTTAAGATTTTATTTATTTATTTGACAGACAGAGATCACAAGTAGGCAGAGAGGCAGGTGGAGAGAGAGGAAGGGAAGCAGGCTCCCTGCCGAGCAGAGAGCCCGACTCTGGGCTTGGATCCCAGGACCCTGGGCTCATGACCTGAACCAAAGGCAGATGCTTAATGACTGAGCCACCCAGGTGCCCCAGAGCTCTTATTTTATGTGTTTTAATCCCTGTTTGTTGAAGTCAGAGGTTATTCCTTGACTGGTTCTATACTGGATAAAATACCTCCTTATGTATTCGGAATAAAAAATTGAAACCATTTTGTTTTCAACTAATGAAATCTCCCTGTGACTGAATCAGAACTGTTTAAAACTATTAACGTAGGTTTGGAATTTACAGTTTTGTGGCATAGTGTACAGTGAATACTCTGAAGATGAAGTCTTAGTGAAACTTTGAACTTGCTTGGCTTTGAGAACATTTCTCTGATCGTGGTCATGCTGGCTTGATGGTATTTGACAGTTCTTGAAATTGGCTTTTATTAACTTGTAGGTTCTTCAGTATAACTTACTGAAATATAAAATGTATAGAACTCTGCTCTAATTATCTAATTTAAAGTAAGGACTTCTACTGATCTATTCTCTACAGCCAAACAGTTGGTGAGGCTAAAAGTGATTTATTTTTCTTGTTTCATATAGATTAAATCCATAGTAATTATCAGGTTTAATTAGGTAATTCCTAGTTGGTACTAGAAGTTGAAAATACTCATTTTCTTAGCTATGTATCTGATTATGAAAAAGATTATCATAATTCTTGCTAGATCATCATCGGTACATGCTTAAGAAAATCTCCACTCCCACCTTCCCTCAGTTGCCAAACATAACACAGATGACTTTCTAATCTGTGTTTTAATTTCACCTCTCTGAAACCACGTAACCAAATTCCTTTTCAATCAAGCAGGGTATAATAAGTAAAACACTTTGAAGCCTGCCCTTCTGAGTTACGTTCATATTCATAGGCAGGAGAAGCATTCTCATTATTTGCTTGATGCATCCTTTGCATGGAATTACTTTTACTGGACCGAATGTACTTGCCCTTTGAGTTCCGATGGCCCGCACTCCATAAGCAGAACCTAGATCATGGATGCTAGTAAGCTTCTCCCTTTTCCAAAAGGGGCCATAAAATTAAGTTTTGCAAGCATTCTGTCACTTTGGGTGGGAAGACAATACTCACATGTTGATAGAATATAATGTTGAAAAGTGTGGATTCATCTGGTACACGACCATCAGTGCACAGTTTGAAAATAAATGTCAAACAAGCATTTTCATCTGGTGGGAATTCTAAGGTGAGATGTGTGCCTGTTAAAAGGGCTAAAATAGCACTTTTAATTTTTTTTTTAATTTATTTTCTTTTTGAAGAAGTAGTTAACTTCCGAGTATTCTAAAGGAGGTATTACTAGCACTCAGGGGCAAACCCTTCAGATAGAAAATAAAACTTAAGTCATGGTCCTTTAAGTGTACGTGTCCTGAAGCCAGACCATTTATATACCAGTTGTGGCTTGTGGAGCATTACTTCAGAAATGTTCGTGTCAGGTTTTTCCCTGCTGGAAGTCTCAGTACTAGGGCATCCCTCCCCACTCCTGTAATTGGTCAAGGTGAGGGGGCCAGGTGTCTGCTCCACCACAGTAAGATTTAGGACAGCAAGATGATTATGCCTGCCTAGGAAAGGAAATTGACCTTTGTCTTCTTTCTCTCCTAGGTTGTCTTTTTACTCGGGCCACTCTTCATTCTCCATGTACTGCATGCTCTTTGTGGCGGTAAGTACTCTGTGTTGGTGTCCGGTGGGTTGCGCGCTCACGTGTTCCGCCTCAGTGTCCCCTTCCGTGAGGCCAGCTCCAGCATCCTCCGGAGCTTGGCTTGTGTGGTTCGGAGAGGGGCCGCCAGTGCTTCTGTTGCAGCCAGTCACTGCTGGGTGTAGAGGCAGCAGACAGGCACACTCGCTGCATGGTCGGTGAATCGGGAACTTTTAGGACCGTACAGGGTCTTCCCGGATGCAGGTGGTGCTTCCTGCCGGTGGGAGAAACCTAATCAAATCTGCCAGCCTGGTGCTCAGAGTCAGTGGATGTGCACCCTTACTTTGGGACATCTTTTCTGCAACATACCAGCAGCTTCTCTGTCATCACCGCAGGTCCCTGCTCTGAAGAACTGGGCCAAGATGGCTGTGCTGGGCAATGACCTGACCCTAATTGGGAGCCCTGACCTTAGGAGCTCAGGGGGCCCCTTTCCTGTGCGGGGGGATTGCTGGGTGTAGGGGTGGAGCTTCCAAATTTGTGGACGTGAAGGCAGTGGTTGTTACTCCTTGAGTAGGTTTTGTCTTCCTTCCACTTTCTGAAATACTTGATTGACTGCTTTCCATGGGTCTAGAAAGGTTTCAGCTTCTGGAAGAAGTAGTTGCTGCTCCGGGAGCTTAGCATCTTTCTGGTTGGGAGGTTCACTTGTGTCTGCTAACCCAGACAGCAGCCTGCCAGTCGGCACTTGCAGCATACAAAGTGGACAGTGAAGAGGGAGAACATATTTGCATCCATATTTTGTATCTCTAGAGATGAGTGTTTATCCAGTGTCACTTAAGGAAGATAGGCTTTAGGTCATATACTCTCCTATCCCTGTGAGTCTTTCTCTATAAAATTATCAAAATTTGTTGGGAAAGAGGAGAGATCTCTACCCTAAATGATCAGCTACAATTTTTGTCTTAACTTTGTGAGTGGATTTTTAGGTGCTTGTGTTCTGTGTGAATTTGCTGTTTGCTCTTTTTTCCCCCACTGTCCTTGGTCACATTCCGTGCTCTAGTATTTAATGCTTAACTTATAGGTCCAGGATATGTAATAGAATAGACTGTTGGGAGTTGGTTTGGTCTCACTTGGAGACATTTCAAAATCAATTTTTACCAGAATCCTGCTTTCATTTGAAAAACCAAATTTGAAAAGTCGAAAGAATGTAAAAATTACAGATGTGTGTGCTGTACAAAATGCAAACCCATGATTTCAAAACCATTACAACTGAGCTAATTTTTGGCCTCTTCACCATTACTGGAAATGTCAGTCTTTTGTCTTAGGCTAATTTAATTTTGCAAGGAAGCAACAGGGTACCAATTAACAGAATTGGGGGCTTCCTTTTTAAAATACACACCCAAACATTTCTGAAAATGTGCCATGGGGAATGTTAGTTATTTAAATGGAGGAACAAGAAATACTATTCCAATATGCTCTGTTCATTTATCCCATTAGGAAAAGTTAGCATTCTTTCTAAAGGGAGCCACCGTATATTTTTCCTCTTAAATAGGGCATGGAGTCTGGAGGAGATGAAGGCTAGAGCCATCAGTATCCTGAGAAATCTTCCCAAAACCCGAAGTCTTTGACGACACTGATGGCTTTTCAGTGTTTGAACATGTTTTATATGCCCTCAGCCAGACCTTGTCAGTGCCGCTTCTGTGTTTTGCTCCCTCACCTGTGTGTATCTTTAAGTCCTTAAGGAGAGAGAGTCCTTAAGTCCTTTAGAGTCAACATTAAGACTCTAATGTTGATATTAATGATTTGCATTTAAACTACTTTGTTGACTCTTTCTGATAATCCTCATGAAGTAGGAGAAGAGGGATGGTTGCCACCCTTTTAGTAGGGGAAATAGGAGCCTTGGGAGGCTGTTGAGGTCTGTTAGCTCTCTAGTGTTCATCGGGTTCCCTTGCTTTGCTGATAGACTGCTTGATCTGAACCCTAGCCCAGTTACTGTAAAGGTCAGGTGATGACACATGACTTTTAGCAACTGTCCCCCCCGCCTCAAAGATTTTATTTATTGATTTGACACAGAGAGAGAGAACACAAGCAGGGGGAGCAGCAGAGAAGGGGGAGAAGCAGCAGGGGGAGAGGGAGAAGCAGGCAGCCTGATGGTGGGGCTCAATCCCAGGACTCGGGGATCATAATCTGAGTTGAAGGCAGAGGCTTAACTGACTGAGCCACCCAGGCACCCCCAACTGTTTTTAATTATAAAGAATATATTCTCAGATGTATCATATTCCATATCCCGTAGTTTACTGTTCATGTTTGCTCCTTTACCCCTTCTCAAAATATCTGTACATTCAATTATAAACTTTAAAGGCTTTTTTGTAAAATATGAAACTACTGTGTAGAACATGAAATTAATATAGAGGGCCTCAGTGGTAAGCCTGCTGTGTGGACGCCCAGGAGTGTATGAGGAGGCAAGATTGAAGATCTAAGCAGAGGGAAAATGACCTTAACTGTAGGTTGGTAACTGGGTCAGTATGAGCTCTTAGAGGTAAAGTTATAATGAAAAGTTCGGATAAAGAGATTTGTCATAGACCAAGGCCTTTATGGAGAGGAAAGTTGGCCAGAGCAACCATGCAGTGCATTTCAGTGACTCTTAAGCAGTGGGAATATTTACTTGATGTGGATGTAGGCCCCAGCTTTTATTTCAGCCCCTGAACACAGATGCCTCCCTGCTTTCCAGCTTTCGCGTTTATATGCAACATTTAACCACTCCCATGTCCTCTGCCAGTTCCTTAGGCAGTGACTCATCTTGTTTCCCTAGGCATCTTGGCATCGTGGGTCAGCCCCAGATTTGGGTGGAGATGTACAGTCATTTAAATTCTGAGGACAGTTTTTGATAGTCAAAACTTCCGCCCAGAATTCCTGACACCCAGAAATTAACTTTAAAAAGTCTCTTAAAGAAAATATCCTGACCATTATTTTCCTCTGGCAGGCAGCCCAGCCCTGAACTTAACAGTGGCAGAGCAGTCAGCACCCATGAAAAGCACCTAGGCTGGTAGGAGCATACGATAGGGCTTCTTTGCACATACCTAGTTCAAGTGCTTAGTGATGCCCACTGAACTTGGCCAACTGCCAAAGAATCCAAATTTACTTCACTATCCAGGAAAGGAACCATGTTACGAGACTATTCTTTTTTCAGTATATATATATAGATAGATCTCTCTATATATAGGTTGTGTTGGAATATACTGAAGGAATAAACTGAAACACGTTTCCCAGCACTGTACTACGAAGCCTGAAATCTCAGATTGTGTTCCTCACCGTCTGTTAGGAAATTCTTGTATTAATTTCTACAGTGGGGTCCCAGGCACCTTGGTGTCTGGGTCTTGCCCCCTCCTGTCTGGATAGTGCTCTTTGATACCACCCACTTCTCTCCAGATTTGTACAACCTCTTATCCTGCACTTAACATGTAGTATCTACGATTGGTGAATATTTCATGAAGATGGTTTCCAAAGTGAATTAATGCCAGGCATTGCACAAGTGAACAGAGCCCAGGAACTACATGAATCTTGTCTAATTGTAACATGGAATTCTACATCTAAATTTAGGAACTCTGAATCCTAAAGATGGTGAAATTGAAGCCTAGAGTAAAGACTAAACAGAGGTCACCCTTAGGGTGTTCTCCTGGCCAGATCTGTCTTCAAGTGGAGGTGGAACAATATATTGCCTGGCTGAGTCTTAGAAGCTGTTTTCAAAATAAGCAGAGTAAGAAACAGTTCTTTGTGTTGAACACGCTACTGTTGGTCTAGCTCAGAAGTTGACAGATGAGGATTTTGGTTAAAAGGTTAGGTCATAAGCTTTGTAGTCCACAATGCAGTCTCCGTTGTGTATTCTTTTTTTTTTAATAGCCCTTTAAAATGTGAAATTCATTCTTAGTTTGCAAGCTGACCCCCCCGACTCTATTTAAAATGGAAAAAAAAAAAACAAACCCTCTTATATTAAGAATAGATTAAGAGGGGTGCCTGGGTGGCTCAGTGGGTTGGGCCGCTGCCTTCGGCTCAGGTCATGATCCCAGGTCCTGGGTTCGAGCCCCGCATCGGGCTTTCTGCTCGGCGGGGAGCCTGCTTCCTCCTCTCTCTGCCTGCCTCTCTGCCTACTTGTGATTTCTCTCTGTCAAATAAATAAATAAAATCTTTAAAAAAAAAAAAAAAAAGAATAGATTAAGAAACTGTGAGACAACAGCGTTTTGTAGTTAAGTGTTACAGGATCAAGGAAAGGCAAAAATAAACCAGCCTCACAAAATATTTTGGTCAGCAACCAGGTTTTATTTTTATTTATTTATTTTTTAAGCAACTAGGTTTTAAAAGTGAGAAGTTAGACCCTTTATTGGAAGCTAGTTTTTTATTTTCCCAGAAATTTTAGGCAAAATAGGCTTGACTCTCCTTTTTTGGTGATAGTAAGATAATGAAAGGATACCTAAGTAGTGTCAATAGACATTGAATTTCCTCATTTAAAAAAGCTGTATGTGTATATATATATATATATATATATATACATATATATATATTTTTTTTTTTTTACAAAAAATAAAAGTGTATACTTTTGCATTTTTTTCCAATGTGACCCCATGCTTTGAAAAGTCCACACTGTTTATTTTGACGAGGTCTTCGTGTGCCCTACAAAGCTATCATGAGGCTCTTCACAGATTCAGTGCTGGATTCTCTCCGGGTGAGCAGGAAGGCCTCCCTGCACTTGTCAGGGAACCATCTGCTGCCTGCACGGTGGTGGAGCGTCTTCCTACAATCCCCTCTGCCTTTGAATATCTGGTTATTTTGAGCAAATTGATTCTTTCTGTCCTTGTTCTCTTAAGGAATACGAAATTGCCTTTATGAGTCTCTACTAATCTCAGCTAAGCAGCTTTTATTTCTTTAAAAAATACCGGATGTAGTAACTTATTTTCATCCCATTTTCAATAGGTTTTACTTTGCTAAGAGACTGGACTTTTTTTTTTTTTTTTAAAGATTTTATTTATTTATTT